AAAGAGGCACCAAGAATCAAGTTCTCTATTTGGCCATGGGTTCTAGCAATCGCTTCATCTTTTTGGCCGCAGTAGTCTGCATGGTCGCCTGCGCCACCGCCGAGGACCCATACCTCTTCTACGAATGGAAAGTGAGCTACGGCACCATCTCCCCCTTAGGCATCCCCCAACAGGGTATCCTCATCAACGGCCAGTTCCCTGGCCCTAAGATCAACTGCACCTCCAACAACAACATCGTCGTAAACGTGTTCAACCACCTTGACGAGCCTTTCCTCCTCACGTGGGCTGGCATCCAGCAGCGCAAGAACTCGTGGCAGGACGGCACCCCCGGCACCATGTGCCCCATCCTCCCCGGCACCAACTACACCTACAAGTTCCAGGTCAAGGACCAGATCGGCAGCTACCTCTACTTCCCCACCACCGGCCTCCAACGCGCGGCCGGCGGCATCGGCGTCCTCCAAGTCCACAGCCGCGACCTCATCCCCGTCCCCTTCGACCGCCCGGCCGACGAGTTCGCCGTCGTCCTCGGCGACTGGTACAACAAGGGCCACAAGGCCCTCAAATCCATCCTCGATTCCGGACGCTCCATCGGCCGCCCGGACGGCATCCACATCAACGGCAGATCCAACAAGGTCGGCGACGTCGTGGCCGAGCCCCTCGCCACGTTGGAGCCCGGGAAGACGTACCGCTTCCGCGTCTGCAACGCCGGGATGCGCTTGTCGGTCAACTTCCGCTTCCAGGGCCACCCGATGACCCTGGTCGAGATGGAAGGCTCCCACACCGTGCAGAACGTGTACGACTCCCTCGACCTCCACGTCGGGCAGTGCCTGTCTGTCCTCGTCACGGCCGACCAGGCCGTCGGCGACTACTACTTTGTCGTCTCCAGCCGCTTCGCCAGGCACCCGCTCTCCTCCGTGGCCGTCGTCCGCTACGCGGGGGCGGAGTCAGCCGCCGCTGGCGTCCTGCCGCCGCCTCCCCCAGAGACGGAGAGGAAGAGCATCGCGTGGTCCGTGAACCAGTTCCGGTCGTTCAGGTGGAACCTGACCGCCAGCGCCGCGCGGCCCAACCCGCAGGGGTCGTACCACTACGGGAAGATCAACATCACGCGAACCATCAAGATCACCAACTCGCAGGTGCAGATCGACGGGAAGCTTCGGTTCGGGATCAATGGCGTGTCGCACGTCGACACCGAGACGCCGCTCAAGCTGGCGGAATACTTTGGGGTGGCCGACAAGGTGTTTGAGTATGGGCTGGTGAAGGATGAGGCGAGTGAGGGGGGGAAGCGGCTGGTGGTGGCCCCTAGTGTGGTGAATGCCACATTCAGGAACTTTGTGGAGATAATATTTGAGAACAGGGAGAAGAGCATCCAGACGTGGCACCTGGACGGGTACTCCTTCTTTGCGGTGGCCATCGAGCCCGGGAGGTGGAGCCCAGAGAAGAGGAAGAACTACAATCTGCTGGATGCCGTGAGCAGGCACACTATTCAGGTGTACCCCAACTCGTGGGCGGCCATCATGACCACGCTCGACAATGCGGGGTTGTGGAATCTGAGGTCGGACATGTGGGAGAGGACTTACCTGGGCCAGCAGTTGTACGTGAGCGTGCTGTCCCCGGCTAGGTCTCTCAGGGACGAGTACAACATTCCTCCCACTCAGCAGCTCTGTGGCATCGTTAACAACCTCCCATTGCCCGCCCCCTACGTCTAACTCATAATCATCTTGTTAATCACTAAAGCTGCATCATCAATGTATCACTTGATTTCGATCTAATTTATTTTTCATTTCATTGTATTACAAATACGAATAATATATCATAATAATTTTGAAAATAAGTCCATGCTGAAAGGATGCTTGTTTTGTTGAATATTAACGGTGTCTATGGATTACCAATACCAATATATATATAAAGAGAGATCAAAGCATGGTAGAAAATAAAGAAAATAAGAATAAATTGTAAAAAAACTTGATTTTGTGTCGATTTAATGATTCCATTATTTGTAAGTGGAAGATTTAGAAAATTCTCAAAATCATCTTAAGGTGAATGATAAATTAATTCTAAGTTGTATATGTGAGAAATGTTAGGTTGAAGCAATTGAGTTTAAATAACTCAAATATTATTGGATCCGCAAAATATTCTGTCTTTGACACTATGGACCGTCCTTTCTCATGTTCCAACTCAACCGGGGAAAGGGTCGTCAACAATTCCTGCTTCCAACAATTAAGTGCCTAAATGACCATGTCTAAGAATTATAACAATTAAGTGGATGTAGTTCAAAGAGTATGAATTTAAGATGGTCATATATCTTTTGAACTATACTAGTCATTTACATCTCACCCGCAGTTGCTGGAGTTGTTCATGATTTAAAACGAAATTTAGCAGATGAATGTGGTATAACAATTGTCCACCATTTCAGAAAAGAATCATGAGCTCGAAAAACATATTCCCGATATTCGAGATAATTGTTCCAGAATAGTCCCCTCCGCAGCTAGCGGCTAGCAGCTCCATCACCGTCGTTTCTTTTTCGCGTGCATAGTGAAGGGAACAACCATTCTGCTCCCCGGATCCTCGCCACCGATTTTCGCTCCAACACATTTCAGAAGTTCACCATCAAAGCAGTAATATCAATTCTCTGTGTGCTTTCTCTTAATTGCTCTATTGTAGGCGTACAAGAGAATTAAAAGTATAATACATAATGGAGATCAGTACTTGAAGTTGCTGATGTAAATCTCTGTGTGCTTTCTCTTTATTGCTCTATTGTAGACGTATAAGAGAATTAAAAGTATGATACATAATGGAGATTGTGAGCGTGACATCATTAGAGTAATTGATGTTGCTGCTTTGATGGTGAACTTCTGAAATAATTTTATAACTTTTGAATGTTAGGCTATTTTGTTTTTGTTTTTAGGAAAAGTTCTTTCATCATTTTTTTCCAAATAAAAAAAAAAAAAGCCTGAAACTGCGGGAACCGGCCCAAAACTAGGTATGAACCGGCAGTTAGGGCTGATTCATTGAATCGACCCGTACATATAGCCAGGCTGGTTCTGGGCCCATGTTTTGTAGCTCGGCAACCCACCGGTCCAGGCTCGATCATGATGTCTGTGTAAGAATGTATTATTAGTATTATTTAATTATATTGATGATTTTGAGGATAATAGGGTTTAGAAAATTTGAGTTAGATTTTGAGTATTAATTGAGTTTATTTGTATTCAAACACACCCTTAGGCTCAAAATATTCAAAAATTATACATAAGGGGATTAATATAATATATTATATCTGCAAAAAAAATAGTATTAATACTATTTTCCAACAAAATGGACAAAAACAAGTGACAAGAAAAGCACACCTTAGACTTAGATGTGATCCTTGATATCTTTTATACTTACTTTGGTGATAGATGGGATTTATAAATGTATAAGAGGCCTATAAGTTCCATAATAGCGAATCCGGGTAGAAATCAAGGAACCAGTTTACATCATACAACAGATAGAACACCTTCCCCAGCTTTGAAAATAAATAAGAGCAGCATTAAGATGAAGCTGTAGGTGGATCTCTAAGAACTTGCTGCAACAAGCGCGCCGCAAGACGCTGAGTAATTCCACCAACCACACGCCCACCAAGAACTCGTGCTTCAGGTTCTCGCAGTACCTGAATTTTAAACTTTAAAAGATAGCCCAGGTATACATTGCTTAAATAAAATCAAAGAGACCCATCCTATTCGCTATCATTCAGTGACTAAAAAGCAAGTCACTGATACAAACCTGAGGGGGATCATAATCATAAATACTAGGACCAGCAACATTAGTGTAAGAAAAATGAAGTCAACAAACTTTCCTCTGCCATAGCAATTGTTTATCATGAAAAGTTATTTGCAACATCGAGATAGGTCAGTAAATTAATCCTGCATGGTATTAATTCCAAAAACCTCATACAAGATTTTTAAGAGGGGTCATATCCATAAGTGTAAATAAGAAATCAAATGATCAGTAGAGGAATCATGTTATCATAAAAGTATTCATCAAAACACAATTTTACAGAGAAGGAATCCCTGAATGTTTAATATTGGTAGTAGCATGCATACAGCAGACTGATAAGTGAGAAGTAATAGCAACATCATCAATATGACTTAGGAAATTACATCTCAGCCCAATGTAGGGTTTATTGGAGTATTGTACAAAAGGTAGTGCATCAACTATTTGACCTACAACAGATTCTTTTTTCTTTCTATTTTGATTTTCGCTTCTTTAATGACAACATATGTTCCATAACCAACAACAGCTTGAGTTCTATACCAAAATATACAAACTAACCCATAAATTTCCGAAAACGAATAACAACACTTCATCTAGTTTAATTTTTTTAATGACTACTTTATACTATATACTAACAGGACTTAATTTATTTTCCTTGAACATTTTTTAATTAATTCAGGCCTTAAAAATAACAGTACTGTCCTGTAAATAACTTCAATAGACATATTAGTGTCTTACCTGCAGTATAGGCAGCAAAATACTAGGATCAAAGTTATCCGAGGATCGAAGAAGTTCCCATATTCTGAATACTTGTGCCCTAAGTTCAACCATGTTTTCCTGTTCGGCACTGCTCATTACTAATGGTCCCGTTGAGTTCACGTTAAAAAGAAGCAAACGTATAGGATCTGGGATATAGTTATATGATTCGACCACTGAGCCCAGGATAACGGCTTCAGTAATGCGCACAGCTTCTTTAATTACTAAAACCCTAAGTTCTTCACCATCTGGGCCCAACAATAGTTTTAAGACAGGTTGTAGAGCATCTTTTGCATTGAAATCTCTGTCCTTTTTCCCCTGGACAAGCAAGTTTTCAAGTCTATTCCACCTGTAGCAAACAATAACTCAAGTTTCTACATTCAGGAAATTAATAAAGGCAAATAACTTAACATGCAAGCAGAAGAAGAAATAATCCAGATCATTAAACATGCCTGAATCTACCATCCTTAAAAAGCAGCTCAATAAGAGCATCTCTGAGATATGGATTAGGATCGGTCAGAAGCCTTTTAGCGAAATATGGATATGAGGCAGCCAACACCTTGAAATTTGGGTCAGCATACAGTGCTAAACCTTCTAGGACAGTGAGAGACCTTAAAATCAAGGCGTAATATGCAGGCACTGCAAGAATAAGTAACAATAATGAGGGAAATACAAATGAGATTTTTCCTTTATAAAGCCTCCTATAGCTTGTTACAACATAGAGTCAGCATAGAATGAGCATGAATGATAACAGGAATTAAAAGATCAGAACACTGCTTCCTACTATCGGACAAAGAAAGCTGTACGAACTATATTAGATAGCACAAATATTTTGTGTTACCCTGCTACAAGAGACATAAGTACAGACTAGGATTTGGCCTAACAATGCAACAGATCCCACTCATCACAGGAATATGATCTTTTGATGGAGAAATTTCGTTATGCAACAATTCTAAGCAAAGTAAAGCCATTCAAGTCTAATCTAGATCCTAAGTGCAGAAATTTGGTCTTATAATAAGCTTCTTAGCACCTGCTTTGTATAAGCAACTAAAATGATAACTATTTCTTCTGTTCATAATTCAATTACAGAGTATTCCATTTTTAAACATTGATAAAAGCAACATTGAAGTTATGCAATCATGTCTTTGGTCACTGTTCATCAACCACAGTACAGTGCCTTAGGCATCAAATTTTGTCTCCGGATCATTTCTCCGCTGTTCCGCCCATATTTTAACTCTAGTAATATTGCATCTACCAATCAATCACATATGACAAACTTAACCAAAAAAATGCTCCACCAAATGCAGTAGCACTTGGCACATAGGACTCCTTTCATTTGAAACCATCACATACGAAAAGGGAAATTGATTCTCACCATTAAATGGATATTGGTATAAAACAGCACTCAAACCATCCACAATGGTTTTAAAGTTGAGCTCACTGACGGTTGAATTTAGTGCATCATCAAAGAAGTCCCTCAGAGCTGGTACAATGGGAGATACATCAACATCTGGAGACAAAAAGTCTAGTGCATAGTAATCACGTGCCATGGCCTCATAGTCCCGATTAACCATGTGTACAACGTGACCAATTATGGCTGATCTTGCTTGCTCAGGAGTTTCACTCATCATTCCAAAATCAAGAAAAGCAAGCTTCCCATCAGGAGTAGCTAAGAGATTCCCTGGATGAGGATCTGCGTGAAAATAACCGTACTCAAGCAGCTGCCGAAGGCTGCATTGTATGCCAGTATTCACGAGATCCAGAAGGCTGAGCCCTTGTCTCTCAACAGCAGCTTGCTCGTTTAGTTTAACACCTTCAACCCACTCCATTGTTAGCACCTTTCCGCTTGTGTAATCCCAGAAAATATCTGGGACAAGGACATCTTCTTTGTCTGCATACAATTTTTTAAATCTCCTTGCATTTTGCCCTTCCTGCATGACCCTGTTAAAATTATCATTCAAAACTAGCAGCTTTCTAAGTCACACAAGAGACAACTATATTTTACTAGCATAAACCTAACCACTGGCTTAATACCAAAGCGTAGATCTTGGTATGCTTCTAGATCAAATAAGATTTGCAAATGCTTCTATAGCATATGAAAAATAATGTCAACAACTAACCTGAACATAGTTGAGCTCCTGATAAACTCTTCGAGCAAATTCATCAATAAGAGCAACAACGTCACTTGATACAAAGTCAACGTATTTATTTATGAGAAACCCCAAGCCTCTTATTAGGTAAAAATCCACCCCAATAGCTTCTTCGATACCAGGCCTTTGTACCTTCACAGCAACAACCTGCCCAGAGAGCTTCAACACTGCTTTGTATACTTGGCCTAGACTGGCAGCAGCAATGGGGGATGCAGATATTGAAGAGTACATAGAATCAAGTGGACATCCCAACTCTCTCTCGATACATGAAAATGCTTCTGCGTCTGGAAATGTTGGCAAAGCATCCTACGCCAACATAAACAATAAAGATCATAATGACATGGAAGCTCAACTAATAATTACATATCATTAAAATAGGTCTTTGATGACTCCTAAAGTGTTTTCTTTCCTTGGCATGCTTATTTGTTTCATGCATAAAATTACTTTCCTCAACCAGGCACTTCAACAATACACGGAGAAATATAGATGATAATACTCATGAACTTATATTCCATCTATTCTATTCCAGATCCTTCTGGCAAACTGATTTTCCCATTCAAATATGAAGAGCATTGATAGTAACGCATCGGCTATGGATTTTCATAGCTCCCAACTCGATTTTATGTTCTTTAGATTCGAAAAGCAGTAAATTGCCCTATCATGAGAGTGGTAGAATATAACACGATTTGATGAAAAGCGGCCACGTCCTTGGTTTAATCCATGGAAAAAATGGAGTAAACAAGATCCAAATCTGAAATAACCAATGAACGGTGATTCCTATTAGATGACTATTGCAATTTGCAAACTTCCCATGAAAAAACCATGGCCGATAACTTACTATCAAAGTTACTTCATATTGGAATGAGAAAATCAGTTAGTCAAAGCTCTTGGTGCTGGGAGCCATTATTTCCTCAATCACGAGTAAATACCTGCAACTGAGAAAGCTCCTCAAGATATTGGGGCGGGCACAAGTCGGGCCTGGTAGATAAGCCCTGGCCAATCTTGACAAAAGTGGGCCCCAATCTAATGAAAGTTTCCCGCAGCTGAACTGCGCGCCGTCTCTGGTTCCGATCGAGTTGGCCATTGACTTGGTCGAGCCACAAGCTGATGGCAAATGAACCTAATCCCGAAAATATCTCCACCGCCCTGCGCGCCACCTTAATCGGGCGAGAGCCGTATTTGGTGGCCAAGAGCTCCGGGCTGTAGACGGAAGCGCCGGCAGCGCGGGCCATGGCCGCGGCTTCCGCTTGCATATCATCAGCTCGGTCTCGGACGGACGTCACAGGAACCAGGGCGGGAGTGTCTCTCTCTCGCGAGAGGGCTTCGGCGGCGCTTCCATCGCCGCCGGCGCCGGCGCCGGCGCCGTTAAGGGCTGGAACGTACCTTGGTTTCGCCTCAACCAGCGCCGCTCGCGCCGAATTGAACTTGCGGTTGACTCTCGAGGTAGACGCGCCCACGCACCAAGGCACTGGGAATGCTGCTGCACACATCGGCACGACTATGAAACAGAGGAACACCGACGGCTCGAGTTCGACCAAACCCAAATGAAAATTTCAATTTACCATATTATATTTAATAAAATGATTCCGTTTAATTCAACAATTTTTTTTTATTATTTTTTTCTGGATTAAAAGACAAGAACCTTTCGTAGAGCAAAACGTGTATGCCTTAAAGAACGCATACAGCATTCATGTGGCTACAAATAAGTTTGGTCAAAATATAAGTAACAAAAGTGGGGATAAAATTTTTGATTTGGACATCGTTGTAAAACTAAAAAGTAAAAACATATCCGATCCGCTTGTTGGATCGATTGGACCGAGAACCCGGCCCTGTCATGTCAGAATCAGTTGATGGTCCAAGTTTTATTTTTATTTTTTCTAAATATAGTTGTATTAATTTAACATATTTTTAGTATACATGAAAAATATATATAAATATGTATAAATTATTATATTTATCATTCCTTCATCTGCACGCTTCATCCTCTCGATTAGGAGGCAAATCAGACTGAATCTCCTTTTGGTCTTTCCCCTCGATTCTTCTATCAATTGCTTAGTTCCCCTTCCTATTGCTTAGTTCTCCACTAACTGGATTTCTGCAGAGGTGGGACTCAAATTAGGGAAAGCCTTTAAAAAGATAAAGGATGTATCGATCCCTCAATCATGAAATCTAGCTAAAAAGTCTATCCGACTTCTAGTTTCCCTGGATTCGGATCAACCAATCCTAAGGTATGCCTGCCTGCAACTTGGACCAAAAAAAAAAATCATTGTTCAGATTAAGTATGAGAATTGGTCAGTCTGTGTTATTATTGCAGATTTTTGGGACATCATGATAGAATTGTGAGCAAAGATTCAAAGAATATATTCTTGATGGCCGACTCTTTGAAGGCTCCTTTGGAGAATGGCTCAAAGCACCATAAACTTCACCTCAGTCAGGCAGACTTTCTGAAGCTCAAAATTAGACTCATCTAACACCAGTCATTCAAGTATTAACCCTCAACCTCCAACCCAGAAGGAACCCATAATCCCTCACAATTCTGGAAAATCGTCTCTTGTAGCTGAGACAACCACATCTCCTACAAAAGCTAGAAAAGAACCATCATCCTCAAAGGGGACCGCAAGTTCTCCTTCAGCTACACATAAACTTCAAATCACACCTAAAACATTCCAAACCCAAACTCCTAAACCTTCCACCACTCAACCACCCTAGATGCTTCTACTCCAATTGACACAATTGACAATAGTAATCTCAGTCTTGTGATTTTTAACCCTCAAGAACCTAATCAGCAGGCTAAGTTCTCAATGCCAGAGGAAGAGACTCAACCAAGCAAACCCAAAAAGTGAAAAAAGAAGGTTATGTCTTCATTAGCCAGACAATCAGAACCTACATCCTCTCAGAGATGAACGAGGCACAAGAGACTGATCAATTGTCAGGAGGATCAAGAGGAGAACCCCTCTCTGACCATACTAGAGGACACCTAACTGAAGAAAAAACTAAAAACTCAGTGCTCAGGGGTGAAAGTGGCCAGCCCAGAAGGTCCCCACTGTGACCAATGGAGACACTCTTGTGGAACTATAGAGGGCGGGGTAGGCCCTCCACAGTTTCCTAGCTCAAGGAGTCTTGAAGACTCCACCACCCTATTTTGCTTTTCTCTCTGAAG